AAAAAAAAAAAAAAAAAAAAAAAAAAAAAAATACAGCCAGAAGTAGCACAGTAATAAGTAGACGGTTTACAAGAGGTTGCTACTAAAGAGATCTGAAATTTCCAAGTTCTGATGGAATAAAAATTACATGGTAGTCACTAAAGAAAGCCAAATAATTTCTATGAAACCATATTGCTACTCTATGCCGATCTAAAATAATTGGAAAACTTCCAATCTTTCTTTGTGGGAATACAGAACCCACAGCAAGAAAAAAATTAATTTACAAACTCTATGTAACTTTTATCATCATAAAAGACTTTTCCTTCTTTGTTTTTTGAGTTGGAATCTAATTCCATTGCCCAGGCTGGAGTATAGTGGCATACTCACGACCACCCCACTGTTAACCTGCTGGGCTCCAGTATCCTTCCACTTTAGCCTTCCAAGATCTAGAACTACAGGCATGTGCTACTGTGTCCGGCTGATTTTTGATTTATTGTAGAGATGAGGTCTCGCCAAGTTTCCTAGGCTGTTCTCAAACCTGTGGGCTCAGGCAATCCCCTCACCTCAGCCTCCCAAAGTGCTGGGATTACAGCCACGACATAAAAGACTTCTGAGATAAGGTTTCTATAATCAAATGCCATAATTCTTCCTTCCCATGCTTGAAATTTGGCTTTGCATTATAGCAAAGTTATAGCATATATGAGTAATCAATCTTGGGTTGACCATTAGCCTATAGTAAACCATAAAATATGAGTAAATATGTAATCTAGTAATAGCATAAGTAATCCAAGGGCTTTTTATCAAATAGCGTTTGCTATTCACACGAACAAATCAGTCAAGAGGAATTCAAATGTAGAACTCGGGAAAACATCCCTAGGGTGCTCTGGCTTGCATATGGCAAAAGCGTCTAGAAATTTTAGATCCACCAAATAAGAAAAAAAGGTAAACAATAACAATTGTAAAGCTATGCCAACATTCAAACATCCATATATTCTTAAAGGATTTTCATTCTCCTTCACTCCTTGTATTCATTTGCTTATTTATTTTAGAGGTGGTGTTAGAGGTTTAAAATAATTTAATGCTGATTTATGCCTTATAAAAAACACCAATAGCTCAAGCTATAACATAAGTACCTTAAGTCATATCTGCATTTTACTTATATAGCTTTTCGAGTGCTTAATTTATATTGGCTTTGTAAGTTAAATGTAAAAACACTACATCTGAAACCTTTTCTTTGGAGATTCTGCTCGATTCAAATAGATACAATAATAAGAACATATTAATTTACTAAAGCATTCAAAATAATGTACCACAAGTTAATCAATAATAGTTTATTTAGCATGTGAGTTTTTTAAAAAAGATATTCTTTATTAGAACTTAAGGGCTTTTAGCTTTGTGAAGTTTCTTTTAGATAGGAATTCTAAGAGGTATTATAGAATGTCTTATGTGAATGGAGTTTTCAAATACAGTGCCATTAACTCTTGTCGCCCTAATGTTTCCTACTGGATTTCTCAATGACAAAAGAGACATATTTGTTACTATTACGTAGTCCTAATGTTAGCGGTGTCTTATCGATTTCTATAAAATATTCAAAGTGCACTCAAGAGGCAGTAAGTAGACTCTAACGATGAAGAATACAGACTCTGGAATCTGAGTGCCTAGATTCAAATCTCAGCACTCCCACTCACTAGCGTGAGACTTTGAGCACATTATTTACCTGTTTTTCTGTGCCTCTATTTTATTATACATGGAGTAGATGAATAATAGAGGCTAGCTCGTGGTGCCGTTGTAAGGAATCAATGAGTTAATGAGTGTGAAACCCTTAGACCAAGGCCTATTAATAGCCATGTTTGTTATATTTTCACCTCTCTTTTCAGTGACTGTCAATCATTTTCACATCTTCTACAAGCTACTGCTATTTTACCTGCATGACATGCTCAAACTTTATGTATACTCACATCCACATCGAATAATTTTTGGCATACAAATAGAAGTTGGGCAAGGGGAATCTCTCTGAAATCAGTGTGGACAAGTTCATCTTAGCCAAGGACTTTCATTCACATACAGGGCTAATTTAGCTATGCGTCTCCCCAGTGCCTTAATGCAGAGGAGAAAGAAAAAAGAACCTGTATCATTTGGGCATTGACTCTTCTACAAACCCGGTACTTCCATAGAACTTGGAAACCTAATTTTGCTTTTTCCCAAAGCCTCCAAATACTAGTCTGGATTTTTGTGGGGTTTTTCTTGGGGGGGGGGTCAGGTTCCTCTTTGGATGAAGGACTCTTTTCAAAAGGTGTCTGGGTCGGCACACAAAAGAAACGTGGTGGCCCAGTGTGACGAGGTAGGGGAGCAGCCCAGTCTTACCTCCTCTCTGTGCTCCCCATCTTTGTAGACGAGTTCATAGCTGGCGATGGTGTCTGAACGTGGAGGTGTCCAAGAGAGCAAAATGCTTGTTTCAGATTCAGGTTCTGCTTTGAAGTTCAGCGGCTGCCCTGGTACTAAAAACGGAGAAGCAGAGGACCGAACTCAGCAACACCATGAGTGTTCACAAATTCTTCCATTAGTGCATTCAAGTAAGCCTTTCAAAATGTGTCCACATCTACTTGTCCAAGCTCACCTCTTTGTATACAGCCCATTTTTTTCTCCAAGAGGGCAAGACAATGTTATAAATACTGTCCTTGTCCTTTAATAAAGTAAATAAGATCTAGTAGAATCAACAAATATAGACTACATCAGCCTCTGAGTTCAATTTTAAGAATAATTCAGTTATTAGCCTCATAATACTGCTGTTAGCAATAAACATATAATTTATATAAAGCACTTGAAATGTTACCAAAAACATAACATGTGCCAAATACCTAAAAGCTCTTGTAATTTATAACTGGGAACGTATTTTCTAGCATTACATGTAACATTCAAAATTATTTCCAATTAGGTTTATAAAATTCTACCTTTACTCCATTAACAAAACCTACAGGCAACCAGAATCACCTAGCATTTTTTCTTACCAGCATATATTTTGAAAAAGAGGGGTAAAAAGGCAAAAAAAAAAAAAAAAAAATCCTATCGCTTACAAATAATTACTTCTAATCCCTAAATTACTTTAAATGATTTAAGGCACCAGATCTTACACAAACATATTATTCTCCCTAGTGTCATGCAGCTAAACTACTGTACAAATTTAAAAGTTTATAGAACACACTTATTATCAGAAATATACTTAACAGGTCATCTATAATTCTCATGTTGTACATGGCTAACAGACAATGTGGAACAGACAATTTGGAAAAACTATCTGTTCAGTGCAACAAAGAATGGGAAGTCTATTCAGTCTAAAACATCTTACTCAAATGTACCGGAACGAGATTTACTAACCCAAGCTTCCTAGTCGACACTTTATCCCCTTGGTTGTCCTCTATAAGGCTGAGGTGTGTCAGGGTGTCACTGGCAAAACTAATCTTATGTTGCACTTGCCCAATGTCCTCCCCGATTGGCTGGTGTGCATGCTTTGTGGGTTGTTTAATGTTTTGATTATTATCCTTGATGTTATGACATGACTCAATGTGCTGTGGCCGAACACACATCCACATTCCCACAAGTTCAAATGAGAATTCCGGAATATTTAATTTTTTTAAAAGACCAATAATACTTTGCATCGTAGGGGGAAAAACATCTGAAGCGTGTTTTTGGCAACTTGAGTAAAAACATTCTAAAACACATATAATGTAGTGTAATCTCTAGCTAATACATGACATCGGAATTTTTAGAACAATTCTTGAAGTATCATTTTCACAAGAAAAGAGACTATGAAAATATAAAAAGTATTGCTTTCTTTTCCTTTCATAGTCATCTCTCTGTCGCATGCTTTAAAAAGGCCTTTTGTGTAAAGGAAGAATAAAAGTCAAAAGGGATCTACAAGGATGATTTCTAGGATTCCTTATGACCACTTCGCTCCTCTACTGTGACTTTGTGTGAGTGTGAGTGTGAGTGTGAGTGTGTGTGTGTGTGTGTGTGTGTGTGTGTGTGTGTGTGTTCAAGCACTCATGTTTGAACTGAAGCTTAAGGTCACAAATAATCAATCAATCTCTCTCTCTCTCTTAATCACAGGCATTGAGATTCTCATTAATTTGATGCCTCTGGGAATTTACGTTCTGAACGGAGTGTCATTTTTTTTCCAGTCCCTGCCGAGAGGGAGTCCTAATACAATCATTTAGATTGAGAGGTGGAGACAAAAGAAGATCAAAGATCACAGAGCAAGGGAAGGAGGGACAGGGGAGAATAAGGACAAAGAGGGAACTTGCAAAGCAAACGGAAAATGCACTACTTCTAAAGGTCAAAGACCAAAAGCGCTGGCAAGAGCGACCATGAGAGCCAATGATGATCAGATAGATGGGAAAAGTAGGATTAGATTCTAATATTCAGGTGACAGAGGGTTTCTCAGCCTAAACATACACACATATGCAGGGGTATGCAGTCACTTGTGTTTCTCTAGTATTAGATGCTTCCTTTTTTCTCCCAACTTCCACAAGTCTGGGAAAGGAGAAAGCCTGTGTTAACTCAAACCAAATCAGAATCCAGTATTGAGGGGTGAGAAACAGGAACACCATTGCAGGGCTGCTCCCGGGCTGATAATTGCCTGCTATGCATTTCCTCCTTGTCTAATGCTAATAATAAATTGACATTGATTGAAAACATATTGAAAACCTAATTAACTTTTTCTTACTTAAACTGTTTACTTTTTGCTTTTAATTTGTCTTGAGCAAATTCCCAGTTGGTCTCAATGTTTCTTTCTTGTTTAGTGACGCAGGCTTCATCTGATCTTCTAATTCTGTTTGTTTCTATTAAGAGTCCTTACCTTCTAAATAATGAATTAAATAAGCATCTTAAGTCCCAGAGGGTACATAGCCCTTTTTACTCTTGTTCAAGGTAAGTATTGGGTAGACAATTAGATAGTAATTCTCCCCATCTAATATTTAGGGGGTTCTCTCCTTTTCTTTCAGTGTCCTCCTTTTGAAGCGGTTTGGAGGGTCACTTCATGTACGAGATTTTAAACTTGTGGTGGAAACAGAAACACCTAGAGGTGTCAGGCAGATAATTTAGATGAGTAAGGGGGTCTGATGGGAGCCTAGGACCAATTGGAGCGCACCTGCCCCACCTGAAGGACGGCAGGTCAGGTTCAGTGCCAGCAGACTGCCGCCTCGTGATACGTGGTTGATTTCTTCCACAGAAGTTGGGAATGAATCTTCTAGGTAAAACCTTTCTATTTCTACTGGCTGCAATTAAGTGAACTTAAAAAAACACTGAAGCAAAAATGTGTCTACAGGCTAGAGTCAGCATATGGACCAGCACCTTAAATTATCTCTTTATTCAATCCCACTCTAGGCTTGTAAATGGCTCCAGGGGGCCACTGCTTAGACACTTGGGAATTGAGGAACCCCCTAAAGACACTGCTTCCTCAGACTCATTTTGTCGTGTCTGAAACCACCAACATGAAGATGAGAATTCGAAAGAATAGAAAAAGAGCTTTGGAATAAGTGGATTTATTTCTAAATTCTCAAACATATTAGTCCTCATGGTCATGATATATGTATACAAGAAAATGCTTAGGAGACTCTAGACTGTCATATTGGTTTTTTCTGTACCACTTGAAGACACAGGGAATACTTTCATTATCTGCCATTTAAATTTTTATCCCAAATATTGTAACTAGGGAACATCTGTTTTACATTTATATGAATGATTTCTCCGCATATTGTTTACATATTTATATTTATATATACACATTTATATAAGAAAATGTTTACTTATATTTATTTATTTTTTTATGCCTTCATCACCTACACATCACATTTCCTTACTGGTATTTTCTCACCTTCATTTACTAATTCTTCATGAGTTCTATTTAAGAACTCTTCTGTGTCATAACACCTTTTTCACCAATTAACTATACATAAGTTTCACAAGAGAATCTGAGATTCTGGAAAACTCCTGGGGAAGTAAAAACAAAACATCCAGAACCTTAAGCGCACTCACCCTACATTGAAAGAGGAGATGTAAGAGTAACCATAAGCCAAATTTAGAACCAGACTTAGAAAACAGAAACAGGCCAGGCATGGTGGCTCAAGCCTGTCATCCCAGCACTTTGGGAGGCTGAGGCGAGAGGATTGTCCGAGCCCAACGGTTCGAGACCAGCCTGGGCACTTGGTGAGACCTCGTCTCTACAATGTATCAAAAAAATTAGTCAGGCATAGTAGCACACACCTGTAGTACCAGCTACCTGTAAGGTTGAGGTGGAAGGATCTCCTGAGCCCAGCAGGTCAAGGCTGAGGTGGCCATAAGTGTGCCACTACACTCCAGCCTGGGTGATAGAGTGAGACTCTGACTCAAAAAAAAAAAAAAAAGAAAAGAAAAGAAAAAAAGAAAGAAAACAGAATAAAAAATGGAAGTGCAGATTTTTCTTTAGAATTATATTTAAGAAATCCTTATATACTATAAAGGTATGCCCTTCCTCTTGATTACTTATTTAATGTCCACAAGGAAATAGAAATCTGAGCTATCAAGTCCCTAAAAGAAGAATTATAATCCCATTGATAAATGGCAAGTACTTGAGTATTGCTACAATTATACTCTATAAATATCTGAAGGCAACTCAGAAAAAGGATAAAAAAAGGCTAAATAATAAATGAAAATCCTTCACGTTATCTGAAATGCTGGTACCTTAGAAGGGAAGAACATTTGAGTAAAGTTTAGGGGTTATCTCTAAAGAAAGGCTGGCACATGTTACTCTGATAAACAACCATTTTATCTTGCCATATTATAAACATGAACAATTACCAAAGATACTAGAAAACATTTTATTACTAAAATATTTAATACTTTAATAAGGTACATATTTTTAAATGTACTTATCTAGCATGATAAATGGCAACAATAACAAAAATAAAAACACAGTCAGAATTATAGTGATAGCAACACAAAACAAAACTCAAAACAAGGAGTCTAATCTGTAAGTGCCACAAATATATCATTGACTAAATAAGCACTTAGTACCCTGGCATCTGCACAAATCTTACTTCCTACTGTCATAAAATATAAATAAGAAAAAGTCCAATTTTATTGTAGTTGTATTTACATCCAGTGCTCTCTTACTCATTGCTAAACCTATTCAGAGAAAACATTTAAATTGGCCACATAATTTTGGCTATTGGAAAGCAGCCTTATTCTACTTTGCTTATATAAGCCTGTTGACATATACTAATGAAATGATTTATAAAGTTCTGGAAACATAAAGCACTTTGTCTCTAAATGTCATAGCTTATGTTTTAACACTTTTGGAATGTCCAGAATTTATAGCAGAATTAACTTTCCCAAAATGCTTAAAGTTGATACTACTCATTAGTTTTTATTTGGTAAATACATACAATTCTTTATCTTCTGAAGGCCTATGCTTTTAAGGTATATCCATATAAATCAGTAGCCTTTTTCCAAGGTTCTATTAAATTTATAGAAGAATAAGGGGCCAGATAAACTTTTTATTTTAAAAGTTTAGGGAAAAAAAGACACATATTAGGATTTAAGATTTAGAATGCCTCCAATTAGCATGGATATCAAGCAACATTTATTATACAACACATTTACTGTAATGCATTAGGCTTAAGATGTAATTTGTTACATTTCTTTCACAGAGAGTTTATTTGTACTTCTGTAAAATGTAGTTACCCAATGTTCTTATTATAATTATTTCTATAAAACAAAACTATAGGATGTTCCGTTTCCTTCTTGAATGTGTTTCCTAATAATGGAAACATTTTTCAGCCAGACATGCTACCACATATCTGTAGTCCCAGCAACTTGCAAGGATCGCCTGAGCCCTGAAATTCAAGGCTGCATTGAGCTATGGTCAAGTCACTAAACCTTAGCATGGGCAACAGAGTGGGGCCCCATTTCTAGAAGAAAAAATACATATATTTTTTCAAGTCCACTATAAATACTTCCCTTGTCAATGGCCATCTATTTCCCATAATTTTAAGTGCAATGCTAATTGCAAGTGACTGCAATGCCAGAAGTTAGAGCTATGGAAAAACTTGGAAGACTGGCCCATATATTTTTTGTTAATAATCATCTTAACCAACATTTTTTTCATATTTAAAACCATTTAAAATTACTTAATATAGTCAACTGTATCTATATTCACAATCAAGGAGAAATACTCTCTTGACTGACTGTAAAATAGATCATATTCTGGTAGTCTGTATTACCAGAAACATACACATTTACATCAATCTTTGATTTGTATCGATCCGTGAGACAACCATCTTAGATAAGATCAAAAGTGAGACTTCCCTCTTAAACTCATTTTGTTCCTAAATACTTTTTCTTTCAAATCTGATTGTAAACAAAACTAGAAATGTGACTGTCATGAAATTAAAGATAATGAAATGAGCACCTTTCAGACACTGAAGACATCAAATGTACACTTCAGTGTATATGTAATTAAAATCTACTTAAGTAATACATATTCACTGTAAATTGTTGTAGGTTTAGAAGAGAAAATTTCAGTGAAAATAATCATATCCTTTAATTTTATATAACCTCTCTGAAATAATTATTTCATAATGGTTTTAAGTTTTTGCCAAGCAATGATCCTAAGAATTCACTAGTCTAACAAGAAAAAGGAACAGCTCAGCATTAATTATATCAAAACTAACATCAGTGTGTTTGGCAGGTATCTACTAATATCCAATGGCTATGTTCATTAAGCCTATAGAACAGATCAAATCACTGTGCTATTCTGGAGGGTTTTCTTAGCCTATTGATCTTGGCAGGCAAAGTTGGTATATCACTATATATCTTCTCAATCAATGGGTATTAAAAGCACAACTACTATGGAAGGTTCTTGGAAATAATGTAAACAGAGTTAGTGAACAGGAAGCAGAAACAACTGTTTTTAATAGATCCATGGTCTATTCATCTAGATTTTCTGAGTTTTGACATTAAATTAAATCGGACCTCTTAAAAGCAGAGTTCCCAAATCACAGTTACTCAATTGTCTGTCTCACAATATCACCTTCACTACGTTATGAGTCAATGTCATATTATGTCCACTGGTAATAAAAAAATCAAAATATGGTTTATCTACTTAAACATCACTTCTATATTTTTCAATAATTTGTGACTGAAGGTCTCAGTGTCTATCATTCCCGTTCTGAATACAACGATTCCCATGATTCTCAAGGATTCACAAGTTTTGGTTAAATTTAGCTTTAGTAAAAAGTTCGTTTCTTAGACAGTTAGATCTTCCTGTAATCAGAAAATAAAGATGAGAAACACTGTAGATTTCTATGTTTACACTGGCGGTTATGAAGCTTAGAGCCAAATTCAGTGATTGAGCATAGTAATCTCTCATTTAAAAAAAGTTATTCCACTTCTTTTAGATAGACTATTTTTTCACATCTGAATGTTCTAATGCATTTTTTCACTGGGGTAATCTAATAACCTCAAGTGTTTCAGGAGTAAATTATACATAATTCTTAACAAAGATATGAATAAATGACAATGTGTTTTTCTCTCCTACCGCTATCCACTTATTATATACTTAGTGGGCACAAAAACACTAAAAGCATAATATAAGCAGATTATTAATTTGAAAGATGATAGTGATCAAAAGTACCCAGGCTCCCTGGATTTAAATTCTGCCTTTCTACTTAGTAAGCTTCTGATCTAAGAAAAGTTCCTGAATCACTTTTGGTCCCCTTTGATCCTCAATTTGCCCATTGGCGAATGGAATAATTCCACATCTTCCAAATTGTGTGAAAATAAACATATGAAAAGTTCATAGCATGGTGCCTGGCATGTGTTAACTGCTAACACATAATGACTACATTTTATTTATTAAGTTATAAAAGGTTTCTATCTATTATCTAATCTATATCTTCTGTTATAACTTCAGTTGTACCCCACAACAATTCATAGCTTTAAGTCCTCACCCCCAGTACTGCAAAGTGTAACCTTAATTCAATATAGGATCTTGGCAGACGGAATCACTTAAGATGAAGGCATAAAGGGTGGCCCCGAATTTGGTATGACTGGTGCCCTAATAAAAGGGAGAAATCTGGACACAGACACGCTTACAGGGAGAACATCACGCAAAGATAAAGGTAGTGACTGGATGATGCTTCGACAAGCCAAGGGACAACAAAGATTACCAGCAAGGTGAGAGGCATGGAGCATATTTCCCTCACAGCCCCTGGAAGGAATCAACCCTGCCAACATCTTAAATGTCTAGGCCTCAGAACTGTGAGACAACGGTTTCCTGTTGTGTAAATCACCTAGTATGTGGCCATTTTTTCCAGCAGGACTAGTAAACAAACATAACTATCACACTTCACAAGGTAGTATTATTATAGATGAGCAAACAGAAGTTCTAAGAGATGAGGTAACTCGACCAAGGTCATAGAGCATAGAGCTAATAAATGGCAGTCTGGGATTCAAACCCTGGTTATGTTATTCCAAGACAAGGAATTTTAAAAATATCACTGAAAAATTTTTAAAAGCTCCAAGTGGGATGGAAGCGCCAATGTCCTTTCTAAACATCTTTCAATGGTTATGTAGCTGCTGAAATAGTATAATATAAAATAATCTCCTAACAGTTGACCGCATGTCATTAAAAAAAAAAAAAAGTAGAACGAGGTTCACAGATTTCTACATTTTCCAACGAGAAATGTCTACGGTAAAATTAATCTACAGTATTTTCCTGAATATTAATATAGCAAATAAACATAGAAATTCAAATGGCATGTAGAAAAGATATATGGATGGTTTTTAGTACAACTGTGGTAGACACTTTTGTTAGCTTTAATACAATGTAGTAGAGAAAATAGTAAATCCATGCAAGAGCCAGTGAGAACCAAACAACAAGACGAAAAGACAATGCATTCAGGCAGGTTGTAAATATGCTCTGAGATTCCTAGTAGCAAGGACACATGGGTAAACATATTGGTCACACGATTTCTAAAGCCCATGAAATGAAAACAAGTCTGTGGTTCAGCAAAACACAGGTATCAGTGAAACCAGATAAGGAAGATATGATCTAGTTCTGATATCTGAGAAAATTCGTTAGTTCACTGCCAGGATTAGCAATGAGTAATGCTTATAGATTATACATGTTGTTTCTAATCATATGGTTATTATGTAGATTCTCAGAACAAGCCAATGGCCCACTGCCAAAACATTTAGAGATTAATGCAAGTTTAAAAGGTGCCAACACAATAAGTAGCCGAATAAGTAGCTATCGGACACTCAAGAATACATTTCTACAGAGAGCTGTTATTTTATATTCCCAGCCCAAGGCAAAAATGATCGCCTTGCAAAGGCCAAAGAGGAGTGATATCCTCTTAGGAAAATAAAACCACTGGTAGGGCCAAGTTTTTCTTTATAAAATAGTTTGGCGTCTGCACGAGCATCCAGTAAAATGAGTGAATTGGGTTAGAAAGTTCAATTTGATATTTTATTTTATTTTATTGAGTCGGAGTCTTACTTTGTAACCCAGGCTGGAGTGCAGTGGCACAATCATGGCTCACCACATTCTCTACCTCCTGGACTCGGGCTATCCTTCTGCCTCAGCCTCCAGAGTAGCCGGGACTACAGGTGTGTGCCACCACACCCTGACAATTCCTTTTTAAAAAGTTTTGTGTAGAGATGTGGTCTGGGTATGTCGCCCAGGCTGATCTCAGACTCCTGGGCTCCAGCGATCCTCCCACCTCGGCCTGTCAAAGTGCTGGGATTACAGGCATGAGCCACCCTGCCTGGCCCAATTTGAGATTTTAGAACTGTCTTTCTTCATCCACTGAGGTCACACGAAGAAAAACAGAAATTAAAGCCATTCAGAGAATACTCATTGTTAAGCAAGTCGCCTCTGGAAAATATAAGCCATTTAGCCAAGGCCTCGTGGCAAACAGTTTTATTTTTAACTGTATCCTGGACCATCCAATCCTACACAAATTAATTTTTGGAGACCACGCTCCTGGAGTAATTAGTATTAGAAGCGCGGTGTCTCAGAAAAGTGCATGGGGGAGGCATCCATCTATCTCATCCAGAAAAGTCTCTAAGTCGCTCTGGTAGGAATCTTAAAAAAGGACGCACCAGGCCGCCCTCTGCTTCAGCCTTCCACCCTTCCAGACGTCCTCGTGAGCCCTCCAGATGGAAGCCCACGCCTCAAAAAGGGAAGTGGGTGCTACCCCCGCTCTGCGCTGCCTGCTTGTGTGCTCCCCACTGCCCGGCCTCCCACCCGGCACCCGCTCACCTCCGGTCTGCGTGATGACCTGGATGTCGCTGGAAAGAGGCCCGTCCCCGATGGAGGTGAAGGCCAGCACCCGCACCGAGTAGGTCTTCTGCGGCACCAGGTTGCCGATGGTGGTGATCTGGCTGTCCGCGACGTTGTGCTTCAGCCAGCTGTGGACGTGCTGGCCGGGGTCCATGGTGTAGTAGACCCGGTAGCCCTGGATCTGGCCGTTGGGCTCCTCGGGCTCCTTCCACTGCACCAGGATGGTGGTGGAGCTCAGCATCCGCGCCTGCACGTCCCTCGGGGCGCTGGACGGCGCCTGCTCCGAGGTCTGGGTCAGCACCGGCTCGCTGGGCGGCCCGCGGCCGATGTTGTTGACGGCCACCACCCTGAACTCGTAATCCGAGTAGGGGCTCAGGCCGGCCACGCTGTAGCGCGTGGTGGCCACCCCGTCGATTTCTTTGTAGGCCTCCTCCGAGTTCTTGGGCTTGTGCTGGATGATGTAGTAGGAGACGGGCTCGGGGTTCCCGGAGTCCCAGGTCAGGGTGATGCTTGTGGCCGTGCTCTCGGTCACCACGGGCGTCCCTGGAGGCTTGGGTAAGGCTTGGGAGGGAGGGAAGGCAATTCGGTGAGACCCATCGTCGCCACCGCCTTACAACGTCGACGCACGCTACTATGGAGATGACAGCCTTGTGTATCTTCTGGAGATCTAATTAGGTGGACTGTGGATCTACCAAAGACTTAACTCAATGAAATTCGGAAGAGAGGCGTTTTCTAAGGGCTCAAGAAGTGCCGTAAAACACCCCTGGGTGACACAAGTCGCATTTTACAGGGAGGGCTTGATAGCGGGTTTTCAGGCTTATAGCCAAATCCCCCGTTTATTAGCTAAGTGACATCGAATGCATTCCTTAGCCTCTCTCTGCTTCAATTTCCTCATGAAAAATGGAGAAAACTGTATTGCTGAAGTGAGGTTGCACAGCTGAGTAACTGCATTTCATGGGTTTTCTGCAAAGATTAATGAACTAAATCCACTAATGCTCTTAGAATGTATCTGGAACCCTCAAAAAACATTAGTTGTGATTATTACTCTTATACCAAAGGCTTGGCCAATTAGGCCCTTGCTTCAATAAATACATGATATAACCTTAACCAATAAGCAGCTGAAAAAAAAATGTGGAATACACTGAAATAGAATTAAATTGCTATGAAAGAACAATATCTATATGGTTGTAAGACATAGGTAACATTACTAAATTTTTACTACATAATTTAATTAAGAATTTTAAGGCAAAAAAATAGAAATTTCAAATCAATGTTCTTTCTTAATATTTAAAAAATGCTGAAGAAACTAAATTAAGGCATCTTCCCAAATCACTGCTCAATGTATTTTATTGTTATAATAATAGGTATCCTAAATTCTACCTCAGAAATATCTAAGATTATAGCTACAAGGCAAACATTTGCAATTAAACCCATACTGTCAGAAATTCAATTCTTTCCTTTGAGCAGAAGAACAGAACTCAAAATACCACCAATCAAGGATGCAAACCACCTTCATCGGTGGCCTCATAGTTGAATGTCTTGCTCTAAACAACGATTCTGAAAAGCAGTGATGCCAGGTTAGAAAGGGAACTTCTACCAGCTCACTTTTTGGAGGAAACCCAGAAGGTAACAGTCGTGTAATCATCCCACTGGTATTCCTGTTCTTTTGTTGACACAGAGGCAAAAAGTATAACACCCCTACGATGACAGCTTACCGGCAGCAGCAAACTGGTACCCCTTCCTTCCTGCTGAATCTCTAATGCCTGGCACTGAGTAGGTTTTAAGGAGCACTGTCAAAGGACCAAAGGAGTCAAACCGTTCTTTTTGTTTTGGTTGACTTTATTTTTTGTGCCTTTAATACTCATCCTTATATTTTATTTCTTTATTTTCGAGGTGGAAAGGGCAGGGAGGTGGCAAGAGTCAGGAAAACGAAGATAAGAAGGAGAACAAGATATCAGTTTAACGGGGCACCTGCTTTGGAATTCCTCAAGATCTCCAGCGAGCCTTCAAATATTTCCAGCAGAGGTGGTAATAATGAAAAAAAGGTGATTCAATATTTACATATTACTCAAAGAACTACAGAATGATAATATTTGGCCAAGGGAATTTACCGAAAATAATAATAAAAGGACGTTTGTTCAAATATTCTGGCCTGGCGTTTTTCAAGGAAGTGGCCGATCCAGATTTCTCCTCCATGTCTTCCTGAACGTTCAAGGCAAATAAAAATATTGCTAACTAAAGTTGTGTTTACTGACATTTAGCTGACATTATTAGTTGTGCTAAGTCACATTGTATTGTACAGTACAGGTTTTGGGTCTGCAGTATATGAGTAAGTTCAAGTATGTCTATTATTTTAAGGATATACAATGCAACATTATTTCAAATGACCACAAATGTTGACCATGTGTACTTTTGGTCTTATGCCTGTATTGGTTTTATGTGGCATACATTTGATATATAAGCTTCGAGATATGATGCCAATCATGGCATATGTGTTGGGTTTTTCTAAGTCATACTTCCTAGAAAGAAAAGGTCATTTGTGTTCATTTTGCAATAGTTACAGACATTTGCAGAAAACCCCATCTGACTTGATTTGCAAACATTTTCTAGAATTGCGTAAACACTGGGTAAGATACAACTTGTATCCCCACATAGTTGCATTGTCTTTTCTTTGATTCGAAACTGCTCATGGAATATAGTACTTTGGCTATACTTAAGAAGAGGACATTTCTTGAGCACTCATCTATGCAAGGTGAAAGATACAACTGAAACGGAACATCAAGCCACTCACATTTTGATTTTTAATGGTAGGGCCCACCAAAATGTAAAACATCTGTTGTCAGACCATGCTGATTCCAATTCTCTTTCTCTTCGTTTTCCTTTCTCTTCAGGGATTTTCAGCATTTATTAACACTTATTTGGGTTTTCCTTAGGTATCAAGATTCTGCTTTAGTATGAAGCCTGTATACACCAGTCCCACCCTGATGGTCAACCATGTCTAACATTCCTAGTTCCATCTGGTTAGTGCCTGGGCCTGGCCTGTTTTAAGATATTTTGATGGGTATCTCTATGTAGGTTGTCAAATACTGTTAAGAAGGAATCTGCCCACTTGGAGATGTGTATCTTATAAATAACGAATGTGATTAAGTTATGTACATTTGAAACACTGAATAATGGATTGGATCACTTTAGAATTTCAAGAACGGGCTTTCTGGAGGCCTTGGACAAATGGCTTCAGTGTACCCGGTTCCTCAAAGCGTGGTCCATCGGGCATACCTTTGACAGTGATCTGGGCTACTGCTTCAATGACACCCAGCGTCGACATGGCAACACAGGTGTAATTTGCTGACTGTCTGACATCATTCAGCTCTAGGACGTTTCTTCCTATTGGCATGTCGTCTTCAGGCGTCAGATCCTCTGCCCCCAACATCCATTTCACATACGGCATTGGTGACCCCACAGCCACACAGGTGATGTTGACACTTCCCCCTGGCATGATTTCGTGATTAGTGGGTGGGATAGAGAATCTTGGTGGGACGCGGCGAACTGGAACAAAACACAAAGGAAGACGATAACATATACAAGGCAAGAAAAAACCGGATCGTTAAACACATGACATGCACTGTACAGACACAATTCAACAATCGAAACATATTGTGGGTTGTCTGAAAACAAAACGTAAAAAAAACTGTGGATAATACAGACCATACAAGTATGGTGTGTGTATACACAGAAGAATTTATTCAGTTTAGTCACTGAGATCTTAGACACAATCATTCAGAAGTTGATTCAGACCTACAAGGGCCCCACAAAAAACTATCTACAAACTCACAAGACACGAACATCATGCATAAGATAAACACAAAGGCATATACGTGCATGCATATCGCAATGATTCTGTGCATGCATGTATATGCCAAAAAAGTGGGACTGGAAGGCCATCAGCTTGCATAAGCTGAGTACCAAAACCAACTTCAGGGCTGTGTACTTCCAGTAGACGTGAATGTAAGTGTGGGACCACACTGTCACATCCCAGCCCTGGAAAACATCACCTAGAGCACACCGAAAGCGTACTTTTTGCTTGCTTTCAGATTCAGAGTGGATGCCCCCTCAAGACCTCACACTAACACTGGAACAAACACAGAAATGTACATACATATCGATTTACAGTCACAGAAGAGGAAACAGGCGGACCCCTCTAGACATACTGGACTGGATCATGCAGGGCATGCACAAGATGGAATCTCAAGGCTCGTGCGGAGGGGCCCGGGGGAAGGGCTGAGTCCAGGGCAACCGTGACAGCAGAAGAAGCAAGGGGCCAACAGAACTAAGTCGAAAGGGGGCGGGCGGGGAGGGCCACGAGTGAGACGACGAGGCTTCAGAGGGGGACGGGGCTGGGGAGTGGGAAGACAGGCGGTTAAGCTCGGGTCGCTGAAGACAAGGGCCGCAAACTCAGGAAGGGAGCTGGGTGTTTCACATCCGGGATTCCATTCAACTCGCATCTCAAGGTAAAACGACAGAAATGACAACAAGATCTAGCAAAGGGCTTTGTATGCCAGCACCGGGACGGGGGGACATGATAATAAAACACACAGTGGGGCTGACACGGAGAGAAGAGATCATATCGAAGCCACGTGACACAGAAGAAATCACCAGGCAGTTACAGTTCAGTGTTCCTGCTTCAGAAAACCTGCATGCTTATGTGTGTTTAAGTACACGTGACTTGGACAGGGTACACAGAGGGGGTGAGTGATAAATGGCTTTCCTTGGCAAAGTGTTATACCATGAGAATTTTAGATCTAGAGGGCCGTCGTTAGGAGTACACCTTAAATACAGATAATAAAGTGACTTTAAAAAGTGCAAACAGACTGGTAAACAAACAACCTCACGACCCCGCGAAGAAGATAGCTCGTTCTCTGCCCTGAAAACTTTTCGGCTGTGCTTAAGGTGGCAATAAACCTCCGCCTATTTGAGAGGGCTCCCTGCGACGGCCTCACTGCGATGGCCTCGTGGGTGAAGGACAGTCGTAGGAGGGGGAGGAGAAGAGCTAAGCATGCCTCCTGCAGCCAGTTCACAGAGGTTACACGAAGCAAGCAGGAGCCGGTGTGGCTCTGAGGCGTCAGAGGACATGTCGAGGAAAATGGAGGAGAGTTTAGTCTTCATGCTTGGGATGAGGGGAGCCACTGTAAAAAGTCATTCTGTGGGCAGCAGGCATCCCAGGAGACGGAAATTAAAGGTGGGGGGCGGGGCGGAGGGAGACGGGAAGAGGGGAGCAGGAAGGAAAGCAGGAACACTGACCAAGTTCAAGTTCACCGGACCGCAGAGAGTTAAGTGTTACCAGTTTCCATGCACCCGGGTACATTCTCTCCCCCCATGCACCGGCACCGTTAGACACCACCAGCAAGCACCAGAAGCCACGGCCAGGGCATTCTCTGCTAAGACATACCATTAACCAAAAGAAGACCACAATGCAGCTACATTCATTTCATTTGTATTCTTTGTTATTGGTTTAATTAATAGTTTTGTAAGGTGGGTAAAAAGTAAAAAACACACCAACCTTCTCGCAGCTCTGAGGGATGTAGGGGGTTTGATGCAGAACACAATGAAATGAGGAAAGGAGAAAAACAAGGGAAACACAGAGAGAGTAAAAAGGCCATATCAAGGCTTTCAACTGCTACTTGAACATCTTTATTCGCTCTAGTTCACCCTTTCTACCTCCGCTGGAAAAGTGAGCCGTGTCTCAGGGACTAGCACGGTATTAGAAACAATAGCTAGCATCATTTTGAAATTTTCCACGGGAGAAGGTACACATGCCTCATGCAGCCAAGGAGGTCACCCTTGTGAGAAAAAGGACTAAAGGGCTTCCGAAGAATTTAGAGGAGAGACAGGTCTCTTCACAGGTCCCCACCCCAGACTCCATAGAAAGAAAGGAGAGAAAAACATCCCCAGGGAAGCAAAATTAACTCTAACAAAAATTTCAAAATCAAGCTAGATATTTTCTTAAGGGAACCCATCCTGTTTGTAACTTAAAGCCCTCTCGGTCTTTGATCTAGGCCCACTGCCACCCACACCTTTTGTGCTGATTCACAGACACGGAGACCCAGAACAAAACATTTCCATTGGCCAAAAAAACTACAGGAACTGGCTTTCGAAACTCCGGGGAAGCGGAAGGACTTCTCGCTGGCTGAAGTGAAGGGCACGGCTATTCATCAGCTCAGCATTTACTCATTTACATTATTGTGTGAGAAGATAGGTTTGTCTCCTCAGAATTCACTCTTGCTCCTGGGACAACTCATGCTATTTCTTAAAATGCGATCGGTGTTCCGCAGAAGTGAAAAAAGTCAAATTTCTTAGTAAGTCTTAATTCTTTAAATGATATGCGTGTGCATGCACAGATAAACAGATAGGCGTCTGGAATGCTATATGTCTACAAATCAGAAAGTATAAAAGGAAGGAAACACAATTGCGCTATTGGCACATAGCACCAGTTTTAATCAAGCCAGCAGCTTTATCACCTTATGGCTCAGCAACAGAGGTCATGAAGACAGAAACACCTTTATGCTTGGAGCTGCAGAGAACTGATTAGTAGCACACCAAGCAATTATTTCAGAGGTTTAATGTGGAAACAGAAGAGAAGCAGCAGAAAAAAAAGAGAAGAAAACCTCAAACCAAGGCAAGGCACAGTTCAATCAGTGCGGTAAAAATAGAAACCAAGATGTAAAAATGCACATATACTTACAAACTTCAAGCCTCGGGACACATTACACCCAAGAGTTGCCTTTTCTCTTGCAACACCGCATTTCGCAACTTTACTTCTCAGTCACTAAGCTGCTTCAGCTACCGTAACCCTGACCGAAGGGGCTCGGGAACCACTGACATGCCAAGGCAGGCCCTCTGGTGTCTCATCTCCCCCTGAGCCTGAATGAAGAAGCCATGCCCGGGTGATGTCATTCCTACCTCTGACATATAAATTGGCAGGGGCGGAATAGCGAGTGCCCGCGCTGTTGGTGGCAACACACTCATATTTTCCTTGGTCAGACTCTTCGCTCTGTTCGATCTGAAGGGCTCCTGTATGGATATAAAATATATTGCCAAAGAGATGGTCAGAGAAGGCTTTCTCGGGACAGAAAGCTAAACCTCTTAACAATATGCAAAGCCCTGCAAAGTGAAGGTCGGCTCAACGTCGATTCAATCTCTCGCTAAGGTGCACAGACAGAAAATGATGCGATGAGAAAAACATAGAGAGATTATTTCTTCTGACATCATCAATGCTAGCATAAGAAAACAATAGCTCTTTTCCCAAGCAAGACCTCTAGTCATAATTAACACTCTTATTGCCTAGACTATTAAAATGAAGATGGGTGAGACTGCTTCAAGGAAGTATGGCTTTTAAATAAAACAAAAGATTAATTTTTGGTTTTGTTTTGTTTCATTTTGGTACCAAAAGTGGCGCAAAAGATAGGTATGCTCAAAAAAAACCAGGCTGGGTTTACAAGAAAGTCTTCTGTCGAAGAAAGCCAAAAATTCGCAGCGAGCACAAAAAGGCTGCACAAAGCAAAAAAATTAAAATTAGTCATTATAAATTATCAAAATGTTACTTAAAGAAACAAAACTCCCTTAAGACATGCAGAGTTGTAAGAAAAGAAAGACAGTTTGCCACGACTTACAATCATTGATTACGTATGCTGAAAAACAAAGAGCAATTGAATTAGAAGATCTTAAAAAGTTAAAAGGCACGGCCCGTGCCCCAAGGAAGAGCCAACCAACCACTGCTTGAGGACCCCGAGACGGATCCCCTAAGACACCCATCAAAATCCACCAGTGGGATTAGCAGTGTGGTGTCACAAAACCCCAAGAAAAATACAAAACAAGAATTACAAAAGAGATGCACACGGAGTCAAAGTATGAAAAACCAGCGATACCACATACCACCAAGAACACTGAGCACCTTTTGTTTCCACAGGCTGAAGGACCGAAGATCCAAAAATCCAGAGACGAGTAATCCAAGAAAAAAAGAAATGGGAAAAAAGCATTGCTGTCAGGTTGTAGGCGAGTGGGATCAGGTGGAAAGGAGAGTCATTCTTTGACTTTTAAGACATTAAGAGAAAAAAGAATCGAAGAACAAAAGCAAAAACCCTTTGAAAGATAAAGACAAAAAGCAGACGCTCCGGGCTGTCTTCTGCATGTCTGCCACTGTTCTCCAGACCACCTTGGCTTTGGTCCAGAACAAGAACAGCTAAGGAAGAAAAAAATGATCTTTTTTTTTCTCCGGTTGGACAAAAAAAAAGGAAAAAGAAGAAAAAAAAAAAAAGAGAAAAAAGAAAAAGGAAGAAGAAGAAAAGGAAAAAAAGAGGGACAGATGGTACGCTGTGACTGGTCTGTGGTCTAAAGACCTGGATATGCTTTCTTTGAAGCATATCACAACTTAAATAATCATTTGCATAAAGAAAGAAATGAACAAAACAAAGAGGAAAAGGAAAAGGAAAGGAAAGTTCACAATATGGAAGTCACGGATCATAACCAAACCGTACAAAGGAAAAAAAAAAAAAAAAAGTCGATGAACATTACTGGGATGAGTCTGAAAACGGGACAAAGATGACAGGGATGAGAGGACAGAAAGAATGAGTAAGATCATTCTGTGAACGTTAGTTCAGCACTCTTACCTCTTATTGGTGTACCACCTGGGTGGATAATATGAATGCAAATAAGATTAGAAAGAAGAAGCATTAGTACGAGAAGAAGGAGGCTAGGGCTGGGGAGAAGAATTAAATTAGGTTTACAGAATTAAATAAGGTCTTAAAAGAAACTTGAATTACTATACTGGCAAAACAGGAATATATTAGATCGTTGTATTAGATCATAAAAGCAAGTTGCATTATACCACAGAGGGCAAAGACCACAACAGGCAGCATTGCCTTTCTTAGAGAAGCAACTGGGTTCTTAGGTCTGGGGTCATGTAGGGTTAGGATTATATCTTTTAGGCCTCATATCCCTTAAAAAAAAACTACACAATATTTTGTAAAGGCAGTTTAGGAAAACGCTGGCTAATCTATTTAAGTATATATATAGATAGGTGTATATCTATATATATACTGTTACAGAAAATACTACTGACTAACTAGAAACAAACCCTGTTGCTTGGCTATCGTATGCTACTTACTATGCTGCAGTTGTGTGACATAACTTGTGCACTATTTTATTTCTATACAGTGTTCTCGCGATAACAGTTCTGTGGAGGTGTGCGTGTGTGCGCCACTACAGAGATCTGGTGTCTACACTGACAGTTAGTAAAATGCATGCCATGCATTTTATTAATAATAATAATAATAATAATATTCTGGATATGGAAATTAGTGGGGGTGAAGTGCGCTTCAGAACTAAGCACTTACCAATAGATTCTGGAGATTTAAATACGGAGAGAAGAAAGACAGCATAAAAATATTATTATATTCCTTATAATTTGGCACAATTTTTTCAGAGTTAAAGCTTTATATACTAAATCATCTATGTTACATGTGAATAATTAATTCTTTATTTACAATAACAGAATGCTAATCTACACAATTCTGCTGACAACAAGCAAAAGAGGCAGTTAACAAGACGCTTTAACATCACAGGACAAGTCAAAAGCTGAGAACTCTGGGAAGACAGGCAGTTAAACAACTTAGAAGTCTATATCAATATTACTACCAATGCCAAAATAAACAGCTCATTAGTCTACGTCCCGGTGAAATTACCTAGGGACAGGCTCTAAATCTTAAGACACTGAGAATTACCTCTACTTTGAGTCTAAAGAGAGCAAAGGGATAAACTAGGGATGGGAATGGGAAAAGGGAAAAGGGTGAAGAGAGAGAGAAAACAGCGAAAGCTGGAGTCTACACCCAAAGCAGACTTCTGTAGATCCAGTCACTGGAGGGCTCAAAACCTTTAGCGTGGGCGCACACTACTAGGGCTAATGTGTAGAAAATGCTCACTCCCGGTATGATAAGGGTCTTCATAAAAATCCCCTCCTTTTACGGGCAAAGGACTTTTCAAAAAATACATCGGGTTACTCAGGAGATAACATTTCTGTGTTTTATGTATTTGTGAAAAGAAAGCAGATGTGCCCAGTCTTACTAAACTTTGGTACGCTTGATGAGTTCAAATGTGGAAAAGACAGCAGAAAATACACTTTCATAAAACTGAGTCCTTTTGGTGTTTAATATGAACACTTTGCTTTTTAATGGATATCACCATTGGAACTCCTTGCAAGTTTCTGAATGAAGTCCAATGTTGAAATAAATTTGTTTCCAAAGAAAACAGAGAAAGAAGAAGGAAAGAGGAGAAAATGGATCCATCAAATACTGCCGGAAAGCAGTAAATTAAAAAATTATCAAAAATACAGTCACAGCAGTGAGCAATGTGGATTAAACAGAAGCTGCAAAACACACAGAGAGAAGGAGAAAGACAGACTCTGAAACAGGCTATGACATCACAGACATGGACCACACATTAAATACAGAGAAAGAGAAGAAGGAGAAAAATCAGTACCTAGAAATTAAAAATAAACAAAATTAAAATTAAAATTAAAGAGAGAGAAAGATAAAAAAAAAAGTTCTCTAGGAGTTAGTAGAAACAGTAACAAGACCCTACCTGATCGTAACTGCTTAATACGACCATTGTTGTTGCTTGTGTCCACGGGTAAGAAATCTTTAAACCAAGTGATTTCTGGATCCGGGTTACCACTGGCTGCACAAAGCATGGTGGCCGTGCGTGTACGCTCAACCACCTTCAACTGTGGGCCCATGTCGATGGTCGGGAAGCCCCTGGGAATCTGATCCTCTGTAAGACAAAAAGGAATACGGACATGTTGACAAGTCAGATGCCCCAAACCCAAGGGACAGTGCCCACACGTCTTTCTCTTTCCCTTATTCAGCATTTGTGGAGAACCTGACGCCAACCAGGCCCTATTGCGCTCTCACGTGAGGACATGGTCCCAATGTTACTTCCAACCAGAAGAGGGAACGGTCTAGCTAGGAGGCCAACAGACAAGCACAGACCTCACACTGGGCTGACACAGACCCCAAAGAGGGGAAGTGGCAGACACAGAGAAAGAAGTCATCACAGCATCCGAGCCCAAGTGGGTGCCAAGATTTAATACGGGCCCTTAGGAACCAGCGAAGTTGGCCAAGTTGGAAAAAAGCAAAAGGGAGGAAAACGGGCAGTCACGAGCACAGGAATTGAGGCAGGAAAGGTCTCGCTGAGGAAGAGCATGGGTGCCAGCAGTGCTGGCTCGACAGGCACATGGGCAACAAGCAGAAGCTGTGTGAAGCGCTCTGTATTGAAAGCCCATGCGTTTTCCTTATCACTCTATTTTTTCACAGAAGCAAAAGGTACAACCCAAATGAATTCCTTTGCGGGGCGTTTCAGTTAACCAGAAAAAGATCTAAGAATGCTGTAGAAAAGAACAGAAGTAACCCCACACTGAGGACAAGAGCTATGTTTCTCAGGGTAAGAGAAAGCTTTCTCCCATCCCAAAGGCCTGCATCATTTTCGGCAATTAAATAGTTGAAATTCCTGAATTTGGGATCTCCAACTCATTCAAAGTTCACTTTTCTCTAGCCCTGTCAGAATGGCTCCAGATCCCACCTCTTGAGAAATGGAAGTCCACTTCAACCCCCAAATCATGTCCCACACTGACAACTGACCCTGACAGCCCTTCTGGCTAGAATTGGAATGGTTTTTTCTTTTTTTAAAAATTAATTTTAAAGATGTGGGGTACAATTCAGGGTTAGGTATACAAATGTTCATTATGCAGATACCCTTGTTGATGAGGTGTGCCCCCACCGCCCGCAACTGGCAGTTTCCCAGTACTGCCAATCCCTTTCTTATACTATTATGATAATTGTTCAAGGTCAGCTTATGAGTGAGAACACGTGGTACTCAGTTCTTTGTTTCTGTGATAGACCACTCAATATTATAGACTCTAAGTCCATTCAATTTGCTGTGAACATATACATGATTAAATACTATGCAGTCATAAAGAAGGATAAAATTATGAACTTTGCAGCAACTTAGAAAGGTATATTCTATTCAAGCATTGAGGGAATTTTAGTTAGGTGGGAGATAATTATCCAAATTAGCCATTTGTTTGAAAACCATTATGAAACATTTTGATTTCCAGCTGTGACTGGTGTTAATTTAATTAACACTCCCTCATGACCACTGATAAATTTTCGTGAGTCACCAGTTATAAAATAACTCAAAAGCATAAACAACAGTGAACAGAACATTACATATCATCAGACATGATCTGCAGCATCTCTTTGGATGTCTCTGACAAACTCCAGTATGACCCATGAATACATGGTTGATCCTCAATCTGATGAAGGCTAAGTTACATTTTCTAGCAAAAAAGCTCCATTTTGTATCTCCTGTTATCAGTCAATCATATGTGTTCTCCGCCATCTCCCCTCTACAGCCTACAAGGTAAATGTCTTCTGAACCTGGCTGGCAAAGTCCTTTTCGATCAGGCTCCATTTTTCTCCGTCTCTCATGGATCTCCTCTCCTATAGGAAACTTCTCGCCAGACTGAAATTCTTACCATTCCCCAGACAAATCATGTCTGTTGGTGGCATCTAGGAAGCCACCCAGCCATAATCACCTTCTTTGTAAAGCTTTTCCAAATTCTCTCAAACATATTTAATCTTTTCCTCCTTGGAGCTACTATAGCAGTGGGTACCTAAATCCACAGGCTTGTACTTAACAATTCTCATTAGTTTCTTCCTGTATAACATAAGTTCCTCCATGTCTTATTTGTATTCAAATCCCTTGCCAACATGCTAGCATGGGTTTCCAGATTTTAAGAGAAAATCCAGTGATCCCCAAGCCTACCTATGACTATATATATATATTTTAAAAATTCCTACAACACAAAACTTCTGGCAGAGAGGTGATCAGAACAGTTAAGAACTGGAGAAATGTTTGAATGTGAATGGTGAGGGAATGTCAAGATATTACCAGAGAATAAAGCTCTCAAGAAAAAGAAACGTCAGTGATCAACAGGTACAGGTTATTAGAAGATAAAAATTGATGGGCTAATAAGAAAATGTGTAGACTCTGTCTTTATCATTGGGAAGGATAGAGGGTATATATCATTTACTAAGTTTTTGAAAGATCAAAAGGAGCTGTGGGAAGTTGGATTTGATATCTGGATTCACTGCAGAATAGCATTCTGTCAGATCAGGTAGTTGGGGACAAAGAGGTTACTTAAAAAAAATAGTTAACCTCAATGAGCTGTATTGTACTTTAAGTTGAAAGAGGTGGCTCTTTTGAGGAATCAATGATACATTCTGTTTATGTGAACGCTTATACTTACCATCATCAGCGAAGCAGAAGTCTACAGTGGACAAGTGTCAGAAACAAGAGTTAAAAATGGAATTTCAGGATGCTTTTTCCAGGCTCCAAGAGAAAGTTACAAATTAAAACTGGGCCGGGCTCGGGGGCTCAGCCTGTAATCCCGTGCCTTTGGGAGGCTGAGGTGAGTGGATTGCCTGAGCCCACGGGTTCGAGATCCGCCTGGGCAGCGAGACCTCATCTCTACAATAAATCCCAAAAAAAATCAGCTGTGTGTGGTAGCACATGCCTGTAATTCCGGCTACTCGGAAGGCTGAGGCGGAAGGATCGCCGGAGCCCAGCGGGTCGAGGCTACAGTGGCTGGGGGCGGCCACTGCACTCCAGTCTGGGCGACAGAGTGAGACTCCAACTCAAAAAACAAACAAACAAACAAACCAAAAAACAACAAATTAAAACTGGGATACAAATTAGACTATGCTGACTTTTGAACTCTAGTCTGAATTTCATCAGCCCTTTCTCTATGTCTTTAAAGGTTTTTGCCAAATATATTTACATCTATAACATAGTTCTAATGTTGCTTTGGGGGGAGAACAGAAAGATCAATAGCTGCTGTACCACACATATTATATTATTAAATACCTCACTTGGCAGCTATTGACACAAAATGCTCCAAAGGACAAAAATAATTTACCTCAAGTGCTGCAAAGTCAACTGTCTTCATCCAAAAATGAGTTTCTGAAAAAGCTCTTAGATTTTGTTGCTGTTAGATACAATTTTGTAAAGCAACCAAATTAGGCGAATTAAAAACAAATCACCTTGAGATTCCTGGGTGGTTTCTGTATGCCCCAGAGCACTGTATCTCCCCCATGGTGTTTGACTACTAGTTATATTTTCAGTCATAAATATTGTTCTTCTAGTCATTAGCTTTCTTCTACAGGTTCCTCTCTAAAGAACCATGCCGATATTCAGTGCTGATCTGTGGCAAGTGTCGAGGCTTAAGATTGTTGAGCCACTTACTAAAGGCTCTTACCAAAGAAATCTAGATTTAATAACCATTTATATGAAATGAAGTCCTCACCTTGGGGATGGCTGACAAAATTGACTTGTGCCCTCCTGAAAGCAGCCTAATATATTTGCATGAACTTTCTTTTTTTTCTTGGCTTATAAAAAACACTCCAGAGCCCCCTTTGCATATATACGAGTGCACAACAAAGATAATGTTTCTTGCATACTAATGGGACAGAGAATTTAAAGAGTGTTCCTTTCTTATTTTTATAAGGGTAATTAAATTCTATCCATCCCCCCTTTGCACAGAACCTCTTTGAATGCACTTTCTTCATTAAATTTTCATGAGAAGCATCACAATGTAACAGATTCAAATAGCCAGAGCTGTTACACGTTGACAGTTGTGGCTTGTTTCCAATTTGACTGTCAGGTATTTGGCAATAAAACTCAGTATTCAACATAAAACAAACTGTAGAAATAATGAAATTTCTAATTGAAATGCTTATCTCAGTGGGTGTAGTTTAGAAGATGCTAATTGCTTTTTATTCACTCTCTACATTTATTAGTGATTTGTATAAAATTGCCTTGGTCATTTGATAGCATCAATTTTGACAGCTCCTCAAATATGCGGTACCAGGAGTTTAGGAATCAAATCAATACCCTTAATACCTTAACCACATAAACTTTCACAGGAAAAAGCAACAAGCAAAAATTAACCAATTGTCAATACGTTAGTAGCTTTAAACTTTTACATGAGGTGAAAAGAAAAACATTTTGTCCTATTCATTAATGTGCTCATTAAGCTTTAAAGTGCCTTACTTATCACCGTTCCATATTAATATTCAATCATGCAGAATTAGCTACTAATTCATCAACAATTTAAATCAGACTTGACCTTCACAAAGCCATTTGGTCTGTCATTTTGAGAGACCATTAAAGGGCAGATTGCTACATACTTGTGCTTAGTGAATCATAGAGTCATACATATTTTGTTTGGAATGGCAGCTATAATAGACCTGGAAGTATAGCACATTCTTTGAATCTGTTTGGTGTCTTAATTAAATATGCTGATATGAGGAAAAGAATTCCATTAAGAAAAGAGAAAAATGAATGTCAGCATTTTTTTCCTTTTTTAGAGCTAACTTCTCATTGTTGCAGAACTTGTTCACAACCCCTGACCTATCCAGGAGTTGAAAGGAACGAATCTATGTGGAAAACAGCCTGATGTTGTTGTGTAGGGAGCAATGCTTTACATATCTGTGAACGATCAAGTAACAGCTTTGGCATAATTTGCTCAGTTAAACTGCTTTCACTGTTCATCCATAAACAATTTTAATGATGCTGCTACTCTCGCTCCAATTCCACAAACACTGAACCACTCATATGTGAAAGGAAGCCGCAGAACTCTAAACTGCCTGCTAAAGCCATAGTCCCCTTCCACAGTGACGCCAAGTAGTTCTTCTTGCCTAATCTTGCTAGGA